ATTAAACACGAGGATACAATAAAAATTTAAACCCTTGGAGTTACGTATGAAAAATGAATATTTTCAATGTCACATTCATTGACTCCACGACGAATTTTGAAAAATCCACTTTCAGCGAATTCTGTGCCCCAAGAATTTTTGATTATCCAATATGGGGTTTCTTTATTATCACACACTTCAATTCCATGCCCTACTATTGAAACGACATGATTTGTTCTAAATACAGCATCTTGACTTTTCTAAAGAAATTTAAAATTATGTGTAGCTTAAATACATATATATTTTAATAGAACTACATTTGCTTATACTTTTCAATGCCCTCGTAGGATTGGATTATATGAGGAAGTGTGATGTGCTTCTGTTGGAGTTTGGTTCTATCAGAAGTTACGTATATACCGGGGATCCTGGCGTCAAAAAAATGAAATTTCCGATTTCGGGAAATCGAGATCCTGGCCCAAAAAAGCGTCGGGAATTCCCGATTTTCGGGAATCGGAATATACGTAATATAACTAATTAACTAAATTCCCTGGTATACCTATACCTAATTATTTTAAATTTATTTTGATGAATTTTAAATATTAATTATTTTAGCTCATCTTCAATTATAAGGTTCAATCCCGTACCCGGAGAGCTTTCTGGCCTTCGAAAAATTTTAAAAGTTTTCCGATGGAGATAGCCTTAGATATGTATATTGAGATCTTATTCTAAAATTACGGCCCTATTCTCAATTATAATATTTATCTCCCTTTTTGCTTAATCCATACCTATTGATAACAAAAAAATCAAAATAATATTACATAATAAACTCCTCCTTTATGTGCATACAAATCAGAATAGGCTTTAAGTATAACTACAACAGGTCCATTTGCTTCAAGTTCTTTAATTATATTCTGTGTAGTAATACCATTCCCACCAAAAGCATCGTATCTTGATACTGCAAAATTAATTTTCTTTTTTTATTATTAAGCTTTTTATTCATACTATGTCGTTTATCATTAAAATAATGAGTATTCCATGGTGCAGTGCATGAACTATCACATTTTGGCGTAGCAGCATTCCCGGATGGAGTAAAGGGATAAGGCTTGCATCCACCCTTGTTTACGTTATCACCTCCTGTACACACTCCCTTACTTTTCAACCATAGCCAAACTTTATAAGCAGAGCCTGAAGCACAATCACCAGCATCGGAACAAGAAAGAATATCAAGTGCCGAAAATACATAGCTGCCATTATTAGGTGTAGGTTGCTTCAATTTTGCCCTTGCAATACAAACACGATCTGTATAGACAGTAGAAGGGGCTATAGCCCAGCAGCTAGCACACCGACCTTGATGATGAACTCGGTTAATGATTGGAGCGCAACCGGACCACTTTTCACTACAACTAAACACATTTTTCTGAATGCAAGTTGCTCTCTTTGCTCTTGTATGTTCATCCTCTCTGGTGCTTTTTTCTGGAGGATCTGGAGGAACCTCTCCATCAGGTACCGCTCCTCCATTGACGTTAATATCCGGAATATCACCATCTGATATTCCGCCTCCCAGAAGCAACAGTTGCTCTTCTATGGGCAAAAAATGGTTTAATGTAAATCCAACTTCTTTGCTTCCTTCAATATCTTTTTTAAATTTTTCCAATTTTTCTATTTTTCCTTTAATTGTTTCAGTACTCAATTCAATTTTGTATCTACTTTTTATTTGGGTTACTATTTCTACAACCTCCTTAATTTGCGGTTGAGGTAATCGACTCCCAAACAGTAGTCTAAGAAGAAATTCAAGTAGACCACCAATAAGTTGCGCGGAAGTTAACGAAGATAAAGATGTAATAATTAGGAAAATTAAAACACAAAATAAGTTAGTCGTTATTTTCATATCTATAAAAATTTAATAATTAATACCGTAAATCTCGAATAATTGCCCTGCGTAAATATTGTTCCTACCTTTCGCTGGATGGGGTAATTAATCGAGAGGAGGTGCTAAATTTGGTGTATATCACAATTGGTTGCCGATTATCTATGAATTTGGTGTGCCTCTGTGGCCCGTATACCGTTCCGTTTAATTTGCCAAAAACCCGATTAACGTATACCGTTTAGTTAAACGGTTTTGTCTACTCTAATAATAATTATCAAACATATATTTTTACGATATTTTAATCATTACCAAAATCTTCTCTTATGAATTATTACCCGTAATTATGGCGTCGAGGTAGATTAGGTTTTGATTAAGTCTCCTAACCCTCTTCGTTTTTTTAAGCCCAATACAAATTGATCCTTAACGATTCTTAAGTTATGCTTAGTCTTTTGAGGAGCTTTTAATATTTTAAAAATTAATTTTAGATGGGGAAAATGTTTAGATTTAGGAAATGTCTGAAGTATTTAAAATTGCTGATTTATTTCCTTATTTGTTTAAAATTAATTTTATTAAATAATTGTTTCATTCTTTGTTATCCACGTAATAATTCAAAATTACGTGGAATTTTTGTAAAATATCATCATTCTCATGAAAATTTATTTCTTTTATTTTTATTAAAAAATTATTTTTATTGTCTCCAACAATAGCCACATAATTTTAAATATACATATGTATTTCCCTAATTTAGAAAAAGATTTTTCGTGTTGGATGATTTTATTAGCTCGAAATAAAGGAGGTAAAAAATAAAGGAGGTAAATTTTTTTACATTTTCGATACATATTCTTCAACCAAACTTTGTTAAACAATATTCAAACATTTTTCAACACTTTGTTAAACAATATTTTAACTGTTATGTATAATGAAAAAAATATTTTTAATTGTCCACATATACATACCAGGGATGGGTTTAGTCTCGTGTCTCGTGTCTCGTATTTTGCCACGAGACACGAGATATTTTCAATCTATTTTAAAAAAAATGTCAGAAATTTGGGACTATTTGCGGCGCTAAAAGAAGCCTTATTTATACCAATTTTTCATCATGGAGTGGCTCAGAAAAACTTGGTATCCTTATCGGGTGTCCATATCTCCCTGTATCCCTGCAATCCCAAGATGCTCCCGGCATTCCTTCAAATCCATTAATATCCCTTTATCCTCCGAAATCACTAAAATCAGTTGACAACTCAATATTCCCATGGTATCTGTTTCTTTAACTCTCCTTGACCATTCCAAATCCCATAATATTCTCCGTAATCCCCGATATCTCAATAAATTTCCTTGATCCACAAAATCCCCAGTATCATTCATAATCCTCATGTAATCATTATACATTTAAACCCTTAACATATTTTCGACTTTACAATTTATGTAAGAATAATTTTGAAAAACAATAAATATTTAATATCTCGTATCTCGTGAAATCTCGTATTTTGTGGGTCTCAGCCCACCCCTGATACATACGTTTGGGATCGCTCCAGAATATCGGCACCCTAAATATCACCACCCAAAATATCAAATGACCCAAAATGTCGACATATAATTAACACTAAATTTTTTCAGATTTTTTTATTTATTCTAAGCTATTTAAATGGCATCATTTATAAAGTCAAATAAGGGTCGCGAAAAATTAATTTACGGAGAATACATTTACACAAAGTATAAAGATGGAAAAGAAAATAAACGTCACTGGAGATGCGAGCTTTGGAGAAGCAATAAATGTCATGGAACTGCTACAACTGACAACAACAACACTGTCACTATTGGGCAGCAACACAATCACGGGCCATCACCAACTCGAATTGAATTGGCTAGAATTAAAGACAATATCAATAAAGCTGCTATTAACTCCACACTTTCACCTAGGGCAGTTGTAAATTCGCAATTAGCGGGAATCAGCGATAAAGTTAAGGTTTATATTTTTTACTAACTATGAAAACTAACAATTATTTAATGCAAGGCTAGTCTTCCGAAATTGAGAAACCTTGAAAAAACTGTTGGAAGAAAACGTTATGCGAATGGTGGTTATGCGACGAAAACGAAACGAAACGAAAATAATTTTTCAACGAAACACGAAACGAAAGAAAAACAAATTTCCAAACGAAAGCGAAACGAAAATCACGAAAAACGAAACGAAAATCACGAAAAACGAAACGAAAATTTTCGCCCATCTCTGGTTCGAATCAACGATATTTTTAACTATTTTTTTGATTATTCATTAAGTTATGCGAATTTTCAATCCAAATAATTATAATTTAAAAATTCTCCAAAATAATTTTTAAAATAATATTATTTATTGATCATTTAATTTTCTTATTTTTCATTTTATTTCTCTTTTTTTCGTTATTTAATTGCTTTTGTACAAGCCTTAAAAGGCGCAAAAACTTGATGGCGACACATTTACAACATAAAAATAGATTAACGAATTTTTGTTAGAAAAACTTTATTTTTTAATACATGTGTCTTTTATTAATTTAATAATATTTTTTAGCTACATATATTGTATTTTTTTTGATTATTTATTTATTAAATATTAAAATTTTATTTGTTTTTAATTCTTCTTCTATAAACAGGCTATCATTCGATATATCGGTCGAAAGTTAAATAAAACTTCCATAAAACTTCCCAACTTTCCCATTTTAAGGTTTAGAAGTTTTACTTATTCTAAGGTTTTTACCTGAACACAACCGATTATTAACCGATACTTTCGGTTTTCGTTTAATCGAAATTTTAACAATCCGGTTTTCGGTTTGAAGTTTCAGTCAAATACTGGTTTTATTTTGTAGGAATTTTTAAAAGTGTACTGATTTTCATGGATTTCCAGTCTTCAATTTTTAAAAGTTCATAGAAACGGTTAATTTATGACAAAAAAATTTACAGGTTTTAAAACCGGTCGTGTCCAATCCAAGTTTTTATTAAAGATAGGACCGAAACGAGATCTCTAACGAAAGTTTCGGGTTCCGAGATTGATATTTTTCGAAATATCGATACTGATCTCGTATGATCTTCCCAGTCCGGTCTCTAGTTTTTACACTCAAAAAATCTAAAGTAATTATTTATAGACTTGAAGAAAACATATTATAATACTCGTAGAATAACCTTAAATTTATTCCTCATTTCTGTAGGAAAAATACAGTAATTTTTTTAATGGAATCGAGTAATCGTTATCAATTTGAATTTCATGAAGAACATCAGGAACGACCACAAAAACATTTTTATCCCCGTCAGGATCCAAATGTCACGGCAACAACAATCGAAACAAAATATTACAGTAGAGAAATACCTCCAAGAATTTATTCAAGAAATGGGGATAACACAAGACGAAGATCTAGTATTTCTTATAATGAATATGATAAATACGAATCGGACAGACTTAATACTAAATATTGTATTGAACCAGCTGGAGTATTGAGAATTATAGAAATTGTGGGTTTTTAAAATTGAAACACCATAAATGTTGATTGAATGAATAAAGGCGAACCTTGGTTTTAATACCGTATTACCTCTATTTGAATAATAGAATGCCCCATGATAGAATGCCCCCCTCTAATAGGATGCCCCGCAGGCATGATTTGAAAATAGAATGCCCCCTCCAATTGAATGCCCCCCTCTAATAGGATGCCCCGCAGGCATGATTTGAAAATAGAATGCCCCCTCCAATTGAATGCCCCCTCTAATATTAGGTCGGGTCATAATTAGTGTCGCTTTTTTAATTTGGATTTTTTGGAGTTTTTAAATTAAGTTTTCAGAAAAATTTTTTTATTTTTATTTCGAATCATTTGTTAGACTATGTTCTAAAGGATCTCAGTATTTCAGAATTTTTTGTTAGGTATTCAGGGAGTTCTGGTCGAAAATATCAAAATTCCCGAAATCATCGGGAATCAAATTTTCTCAAGTATACGTAATGATAATAGTTAGTGTGATATATCATTCGAAAGCTCTTCAAAAGTTCTAAATGTTGGCCACAATTTCGAATTTTTATTAAGAAAGGTCTAAATTTTCGAAAAAGTCGAATTTCGAATTCCGGGGTTCGGCACGATTTACAGACTTTATATTTCGGATTTAGTATAAGACCTCTATGAGATTTAAAAAATTTTTTAGATCATCCTGATCGGATGATTTTACGCTGAGATATAAGAAAACGTTTTTTGGGGGGATGTCGTGTCGTTTGTTTCATTTTTGAAATGTTAGTGCACACGGCATTTGATTTGATCTCCTTAAGCGCAGCCCGCGTTTTTTCAGTCACCCGTGGCCATACGTATAGAGTGGATATCCCTCGATAATTCAGCAGTAGAAATTACCGGATTCCATCTAAGCCGGCCGAGCAGGACCGTTTTCTTAATGACAGCCTTTTCCCTCGACCATGTTTGCTTATGAGAGTCATACGGCCTTCCTAGTAAAGTTTGAATCCTATTCTTTGCTGTCTAGCATAGACAACGATCCCATTGACTAGATCATTAAGATTTTTTGTTTCTCATGTTCCATTTTTGGTAATTTATAATTCATGGTGCAAATGCTTGAGAATTTCACTACGAGGTAGTGAAGTTAAAAAAATCATAACTTTATGAAAATCACAGATATATACCTAAACCTGGTTTTAAAATGAAGAGTAGATTCAGATCTTTATGTTGGTTAGTAAGAAAAAATAATATTTGTAAAATAACACCCCTAAAAATTTAACCGAAAAAAAGCGACACTAATTATGACCCGACCTAATAGAATGCCCATTTGAAAGGTGATTGAAAAATTGAATGCACGGGCATTCAATTAGAGTTAATACGGTATATACCTTGGGGCTGAAAAAGTGTATTTAGAAATTAGGAATGTCTTAAATTTGAGGGTTTCTAAAAGCCAAATTTTTACAACGTTCTGAATGTATAGGCCTAACGCACTTGACAAAATTGCCAACTGATCCCGATTATATCAGGAGTGAACCATTTTGTTTTCGTTGATTTTTCCTTTTTAATCTGTTTTAACACTCTTCAGACATATATCAATGCATTATTTCTTTCAAATAAGGTTGGAGGCTCCTGGGACAGATCCGATATCCGACCCGAAATTTCCTGATATCCAGAGTTTTTTTTGTTTCCGATAAGATAAAGAGAATCTTCAAAGCCAACCCTATGTTCAAACCTTAAAATAAATTTATAAATTTAATCTACTCCTTATTTAACAGATTATTTGCCTAATTGTCGTTTGCCTACTTACAATAGTTTATGGCCCAGGCCCCTTTAAGGGTATACTTTTTGGACAGACATTAATAATGTTATTTACGGGATTTGCGCTTTGTTTAACATTTTTAATTCTTTTGGCTTATTTTTTCAATCTACCTCGAACATATTTAAATTTTTGGCCGTGGACTGAATCTGTAAATTAATTTAATAGAAAATTTCTCAGGAAAATAATTTTTTAGGATATATTATTGTCAGGAATTGCTTCAATTTTCTTTTTAATTTTTTCATGTTTAGAAGCATATTATTCAACAGGGGGCTGGGCTAATAATTGTAACGATATTGGAGGGGATGGAATTATTCACAATGGATGTCGCCTAATTATTGAATGGGCATTTGCAGCGGTAAAAAATGGAAGGGGGATTTTTTACAAATTTTTTTATCACACAACTTTAATTCCCATATTTTAGAGATCCGTATCGTTTGAATACGGATCTCTGAGATCAGTATCGTTGTTGGGCCTCTAAATTTATAGAATTCTTTCAAACCTTCGCTCAGTTTTTCAATAGAAATCTAAAGAGTTAAAATTTATAAAATTTTTCAAACATATGGGGGAAAACAGGATTTTCACATAGCATGCCAAAGCCAATGTTTAAAATTATCAAACCACACCAAAGACAAAAAAATAGGCAACAAATAATTCGAGACATAAACTCATTTCGCAAAAATTCACTTTATTTCACAGAGTAAAAGATATTTTTGAAAAGCCTGGGCCAGTTCCTGGACTCTGGGTTTGATTTATTGACTTTGGCCGGATCCTGGGCTTATAGTCCAGAAAAAACCCAGGTCGAGGAAAAACCCAGGAAAGTCAAAAAATACCTAGGCCGGGACCTTTTGGGTACAGAAAAAATTCAGACCTTATTCCCAAAAAAACCCGATAAAGTCTAAAAATAAAATGTTTTACAGTAACCCTAATTTGTGAAAGAATAAAGACATTTGCCTAATCACTCTACTTATAAAACAAACTCTTTCATAATTTAAATACTTAATTTAATTATTTTTTTTAAAGTTTTTCTGCTTTGTTTTGTTCACATTATATGCAGCAAGTTCATTCTTTGCTATGAGAGAACGTAAATATGAAATAAGAGATAAACGTCGTTTGAGACAAAGAAATATTAATAATGATTTTGAGAATTAATTAATTAATTTAAAAAATATTTTCTAATACTTTTATTTTTAAATTTTATAATAAATTAGAGATTAGGTATAAACCATAAATGTATGACAGATTAAAATGCCCAAACTCGGGAGTTCAGTTTGAATTATACTATTATACGTTCTAATTGTTTTGAATGTTTTTTCATTTCTTTATTAAAGCTAAGGATAAAGGCCCTTTAGGGTTGTTGATAAATGGCCATTCCTCCATCATTTAATCCACATTTTTCAACTTATTCGGGAAATAAATATTAAATATAAATTTCCTTATTGTTTTTGTGTATGCTATGCTTTCAAGCGAGCTACCATTTAAATTTTTCGAGTTTTAGGATAAATTTTGAGAGGAAATTGTAATAATTTTTTATATTAATTTTATTCTTGACATTTAAATAATGTGTAATTAACAAATTAAATATTTATTTACTATTTACTATCTATATTTTCATCCTCTAATTCTCTTTAAGTTTAAGGACAAAATTTAATATTATAATTAACTTTCCCTCCATTTGTGCAAACAAATGTTGCTTTATCATCATCATAAGGGTAAAGATATTGTTGAGGGCATTCTTTATTTTCTGTTTTATAAACATCATAATTGTTAAAGACTGGATGGCAAGTTTCGGGTTTATTCCATTGTTGGGTACAACAATATTTTGGATCTTTGAAAGCTGCACAAGGGCTGAGGATTCCAATTATTGTCTATGGAATAAAATTAAAATTTATTTAATTTAATTTATGGCTTATCTTAAAGAGGAGCAGGCCAAGGTACCGCGAGCCCAAGGTACCGCCAAGCTATAACTTTCTTCAAAATTGTCGAATCCGGGACGCCCTGGTATGGTTCGATTCAGCTCCTCGAGGCGCATCGAACCATGCCAGGTCGTCCCGAACTCGAAAATTTTGAACGAAATTATGGCTTGGCGGTACCTTAGCCTTGCGGTACCTTAGGGTGTACCCATCTTAAAGATAATAATAAGCCACAGTAAGAGGACCAAAAGTTTAGTCACCAGGGCCCAAGAACATGGTTAGTGGTCTACTAATCCCTCCATATCACCTTTAATCCCTCTCGATCCACTAATATCCACACCAATCCATCAATATTAATCCAAATTCTTATTGAGGAATCCTATCCAAATCCTATTCTGTTCTGAATCAGCCAACTTTAGATCGATGATTATTGTTAAATTTTTGATAAACTATGACTAGCATCTTCCCTAACACATACAAATTGAGATAAATTGAGATAATTTGCTTGCTCTTTAATTGGCCGGGATAAGAGTTATACCCCTTTATTATCCCTTTAGTTATACCCCCTTAACCCCTTTATAATTGGCCGGGATAAGAGTCTTACCCCTCTATTATCCTTCTTGACCATTTGTTGTGGCAATTTAGAAGCAACTTTTCTAAGATCACATGCATTGATCTTTTTACATTTTGGTCCATTTCCTCCAACTGGCACAATTTCTACAGGTGTATTGAAACCATCAACTAAGCTAACATCGTAGAAATCACCGGCATTAGTACCAAAAGTGAATTCTGCCAATGACATTGGTGGTTCCCCTCCGGTGCCTTTACATTCAATACCACGCTAAAGAGTTTGATTATTTCGATGAACATAAGGCTTTTAAACTCATAATTTTTATTTTTTAATAAAACACAAACTCCTCTGCAAATTCCAGTTGTACAACTAGTTGCATCTTTATTACACCCTGTCCTTGCCCAAATTCTCAATGCTGACAATTTTGGATTAACTGTGAATGAAACACTTTGTCCCTTATTTAACGCTCCGCTTCCTCCATTTTTGGGTACAGTTTGTCCGGCGCCAACTTGGTAAGCTGGCCAAATAGGATAAGGACAGTTGTTGATGATAGTAAGCTTTGGATCACCTTAAATTTTGTTTCCTATATTTTAATGATACAAATCTCTTTTTTAAATTTAAAGTTCCCCTAGCTGATTGGGAGATTGACGATTCGGAGATGTTCAAGAGAGTGCTTAACATTCTATAATTTTTGGGTCGAGATTAGCTCTTAGAAATGGGAAGATGTTCCCTAAAAAAGAGTTGTATTTTGTCTGTACGTAAAGGGCATTTGTTTAATAACTCTTAAATACAGCAAACCTTTTACTGAAACAATGTAGCTTAAAATAATTACAAATATTGTTGAGGACCTAATCATTGTCATTTTAATTTTATTTTATTTTTTAAAAAGATTTCTATAATTAGATATCAAAATTAGGTAATTTTAATTTAAAAAACTACAGATAAAAATGTGTTCCTAAAAATTTTCATCCAAAATTTTGATTGAATATAAAACTTTTCTAAGTCTAAAAATTTCAGAAAATTTTTAAATAAATAAATTTAATTAAGACTTTGCACTATTAAGATATACAAAATCTAGAAAACTTTGAAAATTTAAAAAAAGCTTCAATATTGGTAGCTCATGATCAGAAAATTTGGGATTTTCCGATAAAATATAAAAATTTTACTACAAAAATTTAAAAAATTCTTCACTTAAAATACTCCCTTTGACAAAATCTGTACATACTATTTAGTTAAAATCCAAGATCTATTAAAAACCAAAACGATAAAAAGTTTTTGAAGCTAACCTAAACTTAAGAGAATAAAGGAATTTATAAAGGAATCTATTTGGATATTTTTCTAATATTTTTTGATTAATGGATAATTTAAAAGGATTTAGTTACAACTTTTATACTCAGTATTATCTGTTGATTTAAAAAATTTGTCTGGTAAACATTTAAATTTTATAAAAAATATTTGTTCAAATGTAACTTTTCACTAATTTTTAGTGTGAAAAAGTGCATAATTAAAAACAAAATATTTATTATATACTTGAATATATTTTTTAAAAATAAAAACAAAATTTTAAATATTTGACTATCACAGACTGCACTTTTTAATTATTTAAAATTTTTATGATTTAATTTTACCAATGCTTTTACTACGTAAAATCGTTAATAATCGAAAAATAGGCTAAAAAATTTTTCAAAAAAATATTCATCATTTATTCCATTTCTGCTGAAATGAAGAAGAAAAGTCGCGTTGAAATAAGTGAATTTTAGAAATATTAGATTAAATTAGCGTTGTACCCCAGCATATTTTTCTTACACGACCCGAACCCCGGCCCGAAACAAACGGAAAACCCCGTACCCCGGCATGCCCGCCCCCGAGCGTTCGTGGTACAACCCTCGATTAAATAGGAGGGGCAGCAGTCTCGGAGGTCCCAGTAGGACAAGAGACTTGAAAATTTAGACATAAGACATTTATTTTTGGAAGGATAAATGTTTGTCTAGAGCTCTATCTTAGATTAATTTGGAAATCTTTACGATAAATGCGTGGTGTCTTGAAGGATCATCAATAATATAGTCTTAACTCTATATTATTGAGGATTCAGGATAAATTATTTTAATTTTATTGATATTGACAGAATTACCTGTCTAATCTCAATTTATATATGATCCATTTAAAAGAAATAACAAGCAATTTACGTGTCTGAACAAACAATAACAAACAAATTCTTTACATTTTTATTCCCTCTAAACAGAATTATAAGAATTTAATTTTAATTTACATTTATTTATTCAAAATATATTTACATATGTGACTAATTTTTAAACCAAAATTTATTTGTAAAAGTTAAGCCTGATAAATCATATAGATTAATTTATTCAAATTGTAAATAAAAATAGTATTCTTAAAGTTTATTTAAAAATATATTTATTTTATCACTTTAACAGATTTTAAATTTCATTTAGATTTAAATTTTTAATTCTTTCAATTTTTTATTATTTAATTTTTATTAAATTTATATCGTGTTGCACCCCGACCCCGTTTCCTGTTCCCCGCTCCCGAACGATTTTTTCAGACTTCTCTTTCGAAACAATTCGAAAACCCCGTACCCCGACATACCCGCCCCCGAGCGTTCGGGGTGCAACCCTAAATTTATATTAAAAATGTATATTTTAGTATTCAATAAAAAATCTTTGATGCAACTCTGCCTTCTCCATTTTCAAAAAAATCTGTTGATTTGGAATAGGTACATGAATCAATTTACTCATGATCTTGAAAAATTTCAAAAGATAATCCAAATCAAAACTTTACTCAATTGGAATGAGAATTCAGTTAGAATGGTTTCAGTTATTTTCCATTTAGCTGGTATGAGAAGAATCCAGCTGTCCAGTAAATACCTAATTTAAGGCGTCTCTATTTGAACGGCAGTCTCCAATATAGCGGCACCTTCTACATTTCAATGTAATATGTATATTTACTTTGAAATATTACTAGAGATAGGAATTAGGATATTGAAGGATAATAATTATTAAAGTAGTTAGTAATACATACCAAGAAGGTAAAGTAATATAATATTAAGTAATTATACTTTAACTATTAAAAATTTGTTTAACTAAGATGCAAAAAAAATTTTCCATGCTAAGGTAAATGCGAGAATACAAAAAAATATTAAAGAAAATTTTGCTAACACAAATTTTGTAAAAAAACGTTTCATCCACATATTAAAAACTTTTACACTTTTTAAAATAAATATAACAGGAAAATAAAAAGCAATAAAATAAAAAATAAATGAAAAAAAGGTTAAAGATTTAAAGATGGAATTGAAAAAAAAGAAAAAATTTAATAAAAAAATTTAAAAGAGAAAAAAACTTAAATAAAAATGCCACATAAATTTACAGCAAGCATATTTTAATAGTTAAAAAAGACGATTGATCAAAGGATTATGAAAAACATGAATATAAAATGAACGGCAAAAAACGAAAGAAGCATCTATTTAACTTCACAACATCAAAAACAGTGTTGAATAAAAGAGTAAGATGAAAGCAATAATTCTAATTCCAGCTCTTTTCTCATTAATAAATTCAATTGCCGGGCAAACCTGCGAACCGCCGACAACACCACCTGTCTGTTACTGTCAATGTGGATCAACGACAGGAGTGACTACATCTGCTCAAACGACAACGGTTGGACCAACAGGAACAACAACAACTGGCCCGTCTACTGAAGCTGGCTCAACCTCTCCTGGAGGAGTGAGTTGAGCACCAACAGCAACCCCACCAGTAGCTGAATCATCCTCTGCATCCCCTGGTTCGTCTACATCTGGCGAAGCTGGCTCAACCTCTCCTGGAGGAGTGAGTGGAGCACCAACAGCAACCCCGCCAGCAACTGAATCATCGACAGCATCCCCTGGTTCGTCTACATCTGCCGAAGCTGGCTCAACCTCTCCTGGAGGAGTGAGCGGATCACCAACAGTAACCCCACCAGCAGCTGAATCATCCTCTGCATCTCCTGGTTCGTCTTCTCCAGCTGAAACTGGCTCAACCTCTCCAGGAGGAGTGAGCGGATCACCAACAGCAACCCCACCAGCAACTGAATCATCGACAGCATCTCCTGGATCGTCTACATCTGCCGAAGCTGGCTCAACCTCTCCTGGAGGAGTGAGCGGATCACCAACAGCAACCCCACCAGCAACTGAATCATCATCTGCATCTCCTGGTTCGTCTACATCTGCCGAATCTGGCTCAACCTCTCCTGGAGGAGTGAGCGGAGCACCAACAGCAACCCCACCAGCAACTGAATCATCGACAGCATCTCCTGGTTCGTCTACTCCAGCTGAAGCTAGCTCAACCTCTCCTGGAGGAGTAAGTGGAGCACCAACAGCAACCCCACCAGCAACTGAATCATCGACAGCATCTCCTGGTTCGTCTACTCCAGCTGAAGCTAGCTCAACCTCTCCTGGAGGAGTGAGCGGATCACCAACAGCAACCCCACCAGCAACTGAATCATCCTCTGCATCTCCTGGTTCGTCTACATCTGCCGAAGCTAGCTCAACCTCTCCTGGAGGAGTGAGTGGAGCACCAACAGCAACTCCACCAGCAACTGAATCATCATCTGGCTCGTCAACCTCGTCTGGAGGCCCAACTGGCTCACCAACAGCAACCCCAGCATCAACAGAAACAACAGCATCCCCTAGCTCCTCAACTTCATCTGGAGCAACAACACCAACTTCAGTTCGTACAACTACTCCACATAAACGTAAATTTGCTTAAATTATTTAGAAAACACATTTTCCTTTCCCTTTAAGGATGCTGCAATTACATGAGATGCGAAGATTGTAAATATAACCAACAATGTACTGGAGGATACCCCAATCCATGTGTTGATATTTATTAAAAATGATTATAAGAAATAATCAAATGTTGTGTAGTTTATACATAATAATTTTTATTTAATTGTAGTTTTAGTTTGAATAAAATTTTGGATTAAAAAATTTTTATTTTTTAATTTTTTATTACCGATTATTGCAAATTAATATTTTAATTGATTATTAGACGTATATAATTTAAAATAATTTTTTAAAAATTATTCTTTAGCTTTATGCTAAATAAACACAATCCCTTTGATAGAGATGAGACGCGATTTCGTCTCTCCAACTCATGACATGAGACCCTTTTTAGTTAAACAAGGCTTAATAAATATTATATGAGAGCTATAGGCGAGCGTAGTACGGCAGAGAACAATTTTTCAATGAAGGATTCAAAGATCAGAAGACTCGAAAAATACGAGAAAAATTTAAAGATAAACGTTAAAGTCATCAACTCTCGAAGAATTTTTATGATTAAGCTTCTTTCAATGAAGAATTGGAATTCGATTAATGAATTCATTTACAATAATTAAATTAATCTCGATGTTTCACTTTAAAGCATGCTGCTTACTCTCTCTCAAATAATTAATTCCCTCTCTCGTTTATTACCCCCTCCACCGAAATTTACTCAATAATTCCCCTGGGTAATTATTTAAGCATATGTTTGTTTATGGTACCTACTTATCTACATAACGATCCACCTTCCACCAGTCCCCGAGTAAAGGAATACTTTAAATAATTTTTTCCCTTTCAATTCCATTATATCTAGCTCAGTTGCAGGGCTGTGCGTCATGGCCGGTTATATAAAATTGATTAAATATTAAACTAATCTTTTATTTTAAAATTTTATTTTAAAAAATTTTTCAATTTAAAAATTTTTTAAAAAATTATAATCCCTTTTAGCACCTAGATAAATAAACAAATTTCAAATTAAATCTTTGCGTATTTAAAAGCCTTTAAATCAATTAATATTTCAATTAAACATTAAAAATTAATTTAAAAAATTATTAAAATATCCTCAAAAATGATCCAACAAGTTAAACATTCCATTAGCTTTTTAATGCCTTTAATGGTATTTGCTATTATGGTTTTGTTACTTTCTGTGGAAGGTGGTCGAAAGATTCCACCATCTAAACCAAACGAAGGAGGTATATTTTACAATAAATTGACACTTTTACAATAATTCTTTTAATATTCAGAAGGTTAAATTGGGTATGGACGAGCTGAATCGAACGACATTACGAAAAGATAAGAAAATTAAATTTAAAAAAGGGTTCTTTTCTCTTCCTTATTTCTTAAAAAAGGGACACGCCCAAGTAGGCGCAAAGCCATAACTGCCTAGAAAATTTCTGGACTTTAACAATTTTCGTACCATTCTCTTTAGCTCGATGAGAGGAATCGTTTAATGCTAAATTTTGAAAGATTCGATAATCTTGAAGCAAGTTATGGCTTTGCGCCTACATAGCCGCGCGCCTACTTGGGCTGTCCCCTTAAAAAAGTGTGTTAATTCAAAACTTTTCTATAATTCGATAAAATTAATCATTTCTGTTATGCATATTTTTTGTTTATTATTGTCATAGTTGAATTTTAAATTACCGAAAAGATAACAACAAAATTGATTATTACCGTCCAAAAATAAATTAATTTGTTTTATAAACTATAAGCTAGAAACTAAAAAAAGCTGGCTTATTCGACAATGACAAACAAAAAATTTTTAAAGTCGAGATAGAGAAGACTTTCAACTCTGTTTATAACCTTCCTGGGCTATAAATTAATGTCGAACAAGTTAACTAAAGACCGTTATGAAATTATAAGAGCAAACAATTTGTTGGTGTTTCTCATAATTCCTATGACAAATTGAATGAAAAATTTTTCAAAAATTAGATGTTCTAGAAATATTGGGATTTTGAGAGTTTAAGAGATTTTTTCTAATTTATTTTGATACATTGAGTAAAAATCACATTTGCTTAGAACTTGGCTTGATTCGAATTCCGATGTTAATTTTAAATAGAGATCGGACCGTACCGTACTACGGCCGTATTTTTCGGTATTTATCGGTATTCCGTATCGGTAATACGGTACGGAATACGGTACGGTAAAATTTTGAATTTTATCGGTATTTTTCGGTATTCCGTACCGTTTTACGGAACGGAAACAAAACAAAATACCGATAATACCGATCGATAAAAATTATTAATGTTTTATTTTATTTTAAGCGAAAAAAGGCTCTCGGCCTTTGATAATTTTCAAAATTTTCGCCTGCGGCGCTAAAAAGGAAGAAATCTTGCTTTTTGGACTTAGATATTCTCAAAATTTTCGACTGCGGGTGTTTATCCATACAATTTATAAATAAAAATAATTATATTTAACTAAATTAGTTTTTTAAAATACGGCCCGGAATACCGATAAATTTTTATCGGTATTTATCGGTATCGGTATTTTTCGGTATTCCGTACCGTTCTACGGAACGGTAAAATTTTGAATTTTATCGGTATTTTTCGGTATCGATATTATACGGTATTACGGTACGGAATACGGTACGGAACAAAATTCCGATCTCTAATTTTAAATCGAGAAGGAAAGGCTATTTTTAACAAAAAAAACTTTACGATTTTGCTTAGAAATTAAAATCCAATTGTTACTTTATGAGCCTAAAAGACCTTTACGCTTTTTTATTTTAAAAAAGCGTTTTTAATTTTTTAATCTTTAATAATTAATTTTATTTTTCTTTTATTTTTTTATAAAATTCTTTTCGGAAAATATAAAATATTTTGATTAAAATCAAAAAAATAATTTATTTAGTTCTACCCAAATTTTCAATAATTTTTGTAACTTCTGTCCATTGTTGTGATGATGGAGGTACTCTCCTTCTAATTAATTGTAGCATTGTTAAGTCAACTTTCTCTGCGGCTAGTGTTGCCGCTTTTTTTATTTCACTTTAGAAAAAATTTTATTTTTAAAATTTCCAAAGTTCTACTCACTTCATAATTAAATACGCGCGAACTTGTTCCTCATAACCAGTTAGTTTATCCATAAAACGCGTTGCTAAATTTTTGTCTCCATATTTTGTACACAATTCAATAATTGACTAAATATTAAATATATTTTAATTGAGCAATTAATTGGTATTATTTTAAAAATTACATTCAATGCCCCCCTACCAAATACCTACCAAATAAGGCTATAAACCACGTTTTGCTACCTATCAATAAGGCTTCACCTACCTACCAAATACCTCCCAAATACCTACCAATAAGTCTATAAACCCACGTTTTGCCAACAAACTTAATGGCAAAGCGTAGGTCATTAGCGCGGGTGCCAGTTTCACCATTCATTTTTCGCCTTCCGCCGAAGTTCACCTTTTTGGACTTTTGTTTTTCGCTTTTTTAAAATCACTTACGACACAACCCTGAATTTTAACCTTATCGTAAAATAAGGGAATCCCTCTTTTCCGAATAATGGTTAGACAAAAAGCGAGAGAGTGAATAATACCAACACATAACCTAAGAGAGACATAATTAAGAAACATTTAAAACCAAAAATTTTACCAAAAATCCTATTGGGCTCTTTCTTGACCGTGCATATTGTTCCAATTGTTGCCATTTACCGGCACGAGCAAATCCTTCAATTGTCCAAAGGAAAACTCTATTTTTAAAAAATAAAAATATTTTTTTTAAATAAAAACACACAAAACTGTTTATCAACAAGTCTGTGTTGTTTTCTTAATTGATCCATTATTGCAAGTTCGTCGTGTTCAACAGCCCAAATAAAAGTGTTCCGAACAGATAAATGTGATAATGAAGTACCAAACTATAAATGTATAAATTTTAAAAAATGTCAGAATTGTTCGAAAAAAAAGTCAGGGTTCTCGGTTCGAAGAAAGTCCGGGTTTCGGGTAACCCGTCCCATCCCTGATATGTGCAAGGGAACGAGACGACATAATGAATAAATTCAGACTTTAGGAAAACGGGATACCGACCTAAAAAACGTCAGGAATTTCGATTTTCGGGTCGATTATATCCTTTCAGTTCAAAAAAAATTTTCCCTTTCAACCATCTAGCAGGGTGACACTTTCCAAATCACCAAAAGAGGGCATGGTCTCTTAAAAAGGGGGAATAAAAGGGGGCGAAATTAGCCAAAAAAGGGGCGAAAAGCCAAAAAGGTGGAAAAATCCCCTAAAGGTGGTAAAAAAGTCACGCTGCCCTCCAGTCATAATTCAATCGAATCAAAATTTCAACTAACACACACTCACCTTTTCCTCCCTTTTAACATTTTCTATAATTAATTGAGCATTTTCACCAATTAATTGAGCTGTTTGTGTTTCTTTCATATTTTTCAAAGCTTTTTCAGCTTTAAACAAAAATTCTGTTGTTTTGGAAGAATCAAAAACATCGGCACTAGATTGTTCTGCTTTGTTTAGATATAAAAGTGCTTGCCGAATAAAATCATCACTTTGTTCGTATAAAGCTAATAAACGGTCTGGGGCTTCATCTCGAATCTCGCTCTTAAAATGGGGAATTTTTGATTATAAATTATTAGAAAAAAATTTAAAAAGTGATTTTTTGAGTTAAAGCCGGACCTAAATATAACAAATAAAATTAAGATCATTTTTTAAATTTAATTGGACATGGGTGGGGCTAGATGCCCGACCAATAACTTCTGTTTAGGATCTATAATATTTCATTCTTGGGGGTATATTTCATGGAAAAGTCCGACTTAATTTACCCTTTAAAGTTATTAAGATTTTTAAATAAAATTTGTAATATGCCTGATAAATGCTGAGAGCCTGTGGGGCTTTACTTAACAACATTTCAACTTCCAATCCACTCATATTGCTTCGTAAATGCCTCAAAACAAGATGCACTATAATTTAATGATTAAAAGGAAATTTAGTGGAAATTTTTAAAAAATGATAAGAAGAATTAGCAACTAAAAGATTCTCCATTTAAGCTAAAATTCCGAATACTAGATAAGGGATTATTATTTAAAATCATACTCAAATCAGGTTGCTGACTTTGTCCCGCCCTTTGTAACGCCTTCTCCAATTGTTTTAATTTTAGCATTGCAGTCACTTGTCTGCTTACATTTGTCTCCAAATCAAGTAAAATTTCAGCTAATGCTGGCAATCCTTGGCGGGAGGCCATTTCAGCAACGTCTTTAAATTAATAGATTGTAAAAATTAAAAAATATATACTACCCGCATAGCTAATGGCCGGATATTGGCGCAAACGGGAAATTAAACGTTGTGCAAGTTCTGCGATTTTATGAGCATTGGCACTTTCAGAATCTCTTAAAAGTTAAACTTTACAATATTTTTTGATAAATTTTCCCCTCCATAAATTTTTTCCTTTTCCCCATTTCGGGGGGAGGGGGAAGTCTTCGCCTGGCTACGGCCCTGTCTCCTTCTTCGTCCTCCTCCCCCCCCCTCACCACTCAATGGCCAGAGAATATTGGCAAATTTCAGTTCACAATTAAATAACCCATCACGAAAAATTTTAAAAACAGATTTCTCAGTCCGTTTAAATTTTTAAAACACAAAAGGTTAATATTCAAAAAATATTGACTCGTGCCCAGATTAAGCGTCTAATTAAGTTATTTATTTTATTTCCTTTAGGTTTCCAATTGGGATTAACCTTTAACATTTTTTGTGTTCCTAAGCAATGGGCCTGGTATGTACCACCCAGTAGTCTTTGAAAAGCAAATATAAATTCAAATAAATAACCTTATAAGACGCTTAAACTGGACAAAAGCCCAAATATTTTTCAAAAAATTTCCAAACCTATTTTGTTCTTTAAAAGTAGTCATCATAGCCAAACACCAATGTGCAATAACTTTGTAAACACCTTCTTTTGAATTAATTTCCAAAAATTCACAAAGCTTTACAGCCATAGGCCAATGACCCAAAACAACTAAACGATCAACAATTGAAGCTGGGGAAAGTTCTTCTAATTGAGTAAATGTTAAAGGAATTCCCATAAGTCGAAGAGCATTTAAAACACGAAGAAGACGACAAATACGAACAAATTTATCAGCATCATAAGGTCTTTGACATCTACGCATTCCTATTGAAGCTGCCTTTAAATTATTGAAAAATTATCTTCCTATAAATCCGCAAGGTTTATCCGCAAGTCGATAAGAATGGAAAGAAAAAATTTTTTCTCCAAAAGTCCGTGAGACGTTTTTATCAAAAAGGATTATTTATCAACAAATTTTTTCCAGAATATTCGTAACATTAAAAATTTTTTCACAACTTGAGGAGTTCTGGGAACATAAAGGGGGACTCTCGATAGGGAGACTAATAAAGGGACTCGATTTTTCTTAAAAATTTTATTCTTGATAAAAAGTGTTAAGGAACGACCGAGTAATTGCTCTTAGCGATAATTAATTTAAAAATAATATTCAAAAACCTTTAAAAGTTGTTTTTGTAATTTTGAGTCAAAATGGTGTGCAGCAACTGATAAACATTGATCTACAGCTATATTCATATCCTCTGGATTTATTGAACGAATAAATCTAGAAATTTGAAGTTTATAAGTTAGGGAAGATTTTTTGAATGCCGCCTCGCTTGCACTAGTCAGAGGCAAGCGATTAAAATTTGACCTCAAATTTAGATATACACTCAATTTTTGACGACCAATGGGTAAGAAGAAGAGATGGATGCCTCGACTTTGAACAATCAACCTCAATAAATATACCCTCAGTTTTAGATGGCCTCTGTGTAGAAAAAGGGGCAGGCATAAGCGACTCACTTAATTTTAGATGCCCATCATTTTCTAAACTCTACTATCTACGAAAATTAATTTGTCCTAATCAAAAACTCAACAAAAATTTAAAAGAAATACAAACTCATAAGATGAATGACTTTTTTGTTCCAATTTTACAGCAGATCCATAAAGTAAAGCTCCAGGTTCATTACTTCCCAACCCTAGGACAGATTTTGATGCATCTTGGATTGGTGAAAGTAAAGAAGTAGACCGTCTAGTAAATACTCTAATCCCATCAATATCGTTGTTAAAACGAGCATCAGAAGAAAATGAAAAAAAACTTAAGAAAAAAATAACGGTTTAATTAAACCCAAAATTAAAAAAAAACCCAATAAAGAAAAATTTTTTATTAAATAAAATAAATTAACAAACCCTCTATTAACGTATACCCGTAAAAACAAAATAGGACGTAAAAAGAATTATTATGACAAAGAAATATCATTCAACTCAATTAAAAGTACGTTAATAGAGGGTTGAATTCAAAAAAACAAAAAAATAAACCAAAAAAATAAAGCAGACAATATTAAATAAACCAAAAAATAAATAATAAGCCAAAGAATACACAATCAGATCTCACATTTATATACTCCTTAAAGCTGAAAACCCCAAACGACCCGAAATTTTTTGTCAACCCGAAATCCGAACGGAAGAAAATTTTGAAAACCACCCAACTTCTCAACCCATCCCATCCCCTGTACATATATAAAAAGGTATCGCTTAAGCAGTTCTTTCCGCCGATTAACCAAAAATATAAAATTGAGGATTTATAATTCTGGGGGTATATAAATGTGAGATCCGACTGTATAAAGTGCCGCCATAACCAATACCCGGAACCCGAGACCGAGGAAAAAGACAAAGACCAAAACCAAAAAATCAAAGACAGAACTGAGGGCCGAAAATGAAGAGATTCAAAAGAAAACAAAAATACACGTAACAGTTTTAAAAATGTTCCGTTTGGGGAGGGGCAAAAGTTAATCGAAAAAAGAAAAAAACAGAAAAATGATTTTCCCAATACTTAAGGTAAATTTGAATAATCCGCCCCATCCCCTAGCCAATAATGGCGGCACTTAACACCCCACCCACTAGTCACTTCGATAGTCACCAGTGGGCAGGGTGAAAAACATCATGCGGAATACCATTATTGTATAAGTCAATAGTATTTCCCGTAAATTCGGCTCTAAGCCTACGGCCGCAAATGTAGATGCCTTCCTCGTCCCTGGCCTAATTTAAAAAAAGAAAAATAGCAAAAATACTTTTGTAGTATTTTAATTCAAAAAATAGAACCCCAACAATACCCCATCTAAGTGGATTAAAAAATATTCATTAAAAACTTCAACAAATACACAAAAATAATTTCCTATAAATGGATATTCGATTTTAAAGGGGTGGAAAAACAAAAAAATATTTTAAAAAAGGAAAAATATTATTATAAAAATATAAATTAAACTTACGGCACAGTGAAGAATACAATATCCAGAACCATTAACAACAACTCTGAAACGATTTTGACCTTCCCCATCCATCCATTGACTAAACCATTCCATACGAACATTAGATTGCCAATTCCAATTTTCAACATCTAATTTAAAAAGGATTTCTCGATAAATTTTTACATTTGAATAGTGAGTCAGGCTCACCCTCACCCCCCCCCCCCCAAATAGGAAAAAGGAAAAAATTTGGGAAGGAGACGGAGATAAAAGGTGAATTTTTTGGCCTAGTCTTCCAAAATTTTCGCTTGTTCCAAAATTTTCGCCTTAGGCGTCAGACATTCTGCGCCAAAAATGATTGCTCCCCCACCAAAAAAAATTCCTGGTTACGGGCTTGTAGCGAGTACCCAGAAATTCATTGAAAGGGCAAAAAGGAAAAAATTCTGTAAAACTTTGGCTTCCCCTTTACACATTGTATTTTTTCCCATCGCTTTATCTCTATGGCAAATTATAAATCATTAGAAAGAGCTTGTCGAGCTAAGTCGAATGACACTAAAAGCAACTAGATCTGACTTTATGAACAAAGTTATGGCCATTTGTTTAAAACCCCTTGGAGCGCCACAAAGTTTCCAGCAAGGAATCAGCCCCATAATCTTGTTCATATCATCAGATATAATCTTTCTTGGTGCCATCGACCTCGCTCGAAAAGCTCATTCAAATGCTACAAATATAGATCAAACAAAAAAGTTCGGAATGGTTAGGGAGACTGGGAAAAAGGGGAACAACCAAAGTATTACAAAAATCCCTAATAATAACTGGAAGTGAACCCTTTCCGGTAATTTTTATTAAAAAATTAGTTAAATCATAAGAAAATAAAAATTAAAATTACTTGGTTGTTGTTGTTGTTGAAACATTTTGATGAAAAATCCAATTATTTTTTTGAAAACAAATCCAATAAAGTTTTTTCTAAAAAATAATTTTTAATAAAAATTTAAAGAAATTAAAAATAAACTTTAAAGTCTCCGCAAAGGAATACGTACTACAAAAAAGATGCTGAGAAGTTTTGCTTTTTTTAGCTTTTTTGAATTTCTCTAAAAAATTTATTATTTTTAATTAAAAATGTTGGTAATATTGAACCGGACAGACCCCCTTTTTTCCTCCCCAATTTTTCCCCTATATTTTTCCTCCTTTTACTTGATTTTCGCATGTACTTGCACTTGTATAAAATTAAATAATCCTTTTTGTTTGATTTTAGGCAAAAATTAGAAAGGCAATTTGGATGGAAAAAAGGAAAAAGTCTGACCATTTTGCAAAAATATAGGGGGAAAATTGGGGAAGAAAAAAGGGGTCTGTCCGGTTCAATATTACAAAAATGTTTACTACTAAATTAAATTCCTAAACTTTAGATGGTCAATAAAAGAAAAGCACAAAATCAAAAGTAAAATAACTGAAAAAACAATGAACGACTTAAATACTATTTTAAGAAGGTTTATTCTTATAAGACGGGATTCAGTCCGAAAATTTCGGCTTTTTGGAATCTTAGGGATTGTATTTCTGGAATTTATCTTATTAAATCCCGTATCATTCAAAAGTTTTAAAGAAAATCCCGTTTACGGGCTATCAGGATCGCGATCAAAAAAATTGCGGAATGTGGAAATAGAATGGTTAATCTAAGAGAGTCTTTCTTTCGCTCACCCATATTTGACCAACACCACATTTTGCCAATAAGGCTAAAAATCTACATTTTGTCATAAGGCTCTGTTGACAAAACGCAAGTTTCTAGCCTTATTGGCGAAATATGTATTGGTCAAATATCATAATGTTTTTTTTTGGTGACACGCCCAAATAGGCGCGCATCCATAACGGCGCAAAGCCATAACTTGCTGAAAAATGACCTTCCCTTATCAATTTTGATACCAATCTTCTCAGCTCGATGAGAGGAATCGTTTAATAACAAATTTGATAAGATTCGGAAATCTTAAAGCAAGTTATGGATATGCGCCTTTATGGCGCGCGCCTATTTGTGCTCATCCTTTTTTGACTTGAACTGAAGCTGTTTTGGTGCCAATAATTAAAGGCTGTTTGAGTGCCAAATTTACCACAGAGTTTCAGTGTTGGCTCTCCTTGCGACAATTTTTCCTTGTTAAATTGTTTTTAGATAGATCCCTAGGTTTTACCTGAATGAGTTAATTTGCCAATATACTTAATTTTCTATTTTTTGTTCAATTTTTTTTCATTTTTTAGTTCTAAATAATTTTTTAATTAATCATGACTGGCCTTCCTTCAATTCAGTAAGATTTTTGTTTAAATTATTTCAATAATTTTTATTTTTTTGAAGAAATTTATGTCTTTATGACAATTTAAATTTGCCATTATTTCCAAAAAGAAGCGATGAACAAATACTTTTTGCTTGCTGTCCATTTGCCGGACCTATTGGTTTGTGATTTTTTTAAACTCTTCAAGAAAGTTTGGGGTTATTTAAAATTATTAATTTTTGCGGGTAAAATTGAATTTCGTACCTCCCCTCTTCCATAAAAATCAGAAAAATGGTCCGACTCAAAATATGTTACAAACCTGACTGCGTTATGTACCCCGCTTCTTTTTTTCGAATGCCAACGTTGGGTGTCCACCAAGGGCGTATCCAAGGGGTGCTTTTACTATTAGAAATGTGTTCACTTTTAGGGGGGCTAACATTGGGTATGCGTCAAAATACTATTGAAACAGGCATGGTCATGGCTACTGATCTTGGTATCCATGACCATGTCTGATTAGAAATGGTTCTGCTATTTAGAAATACTATTAGAAATGGAAAAAAACTACTATTAGAAATGGGTTCACTGTATTAAATTTTTTATGAAAATAGAAGCTCTATTTACGTAGAGTTATGTTACACACGCACCTACTGAACTATTGGCTATAAAAATCAGAGCTGCGGACCGAAAGGCAGAGTAAGGTTTAACATATTTTTAGTTTGACCATGTGTTACACTTTGTGGAGGTAAAAGAGAGGGGGGGGTACGAAATTCAATTTTACCTTTGAATTTCTTGCGAATAAGGCTAAAGACCGCGTTAAAAGTTAATGGTTTTTTTGGTTTTACGCTCCCGTTTTTCAATATCTTTTGTTAAAAGTTAGTCAAACTATTACAGATTTTTATAACAAATTTTATGAAAATATTTTCCCGGAATCCAAGTTTATGTGACAATTAGAGGTAATGAGGGGGCAAGCTAAACTGCTACAAAATTAACTCAAAATTCTCCTTTATTTTTCTCCTAAATTTAATTTTCAGCTCCACTCTCAAAATTTCTTTTTTTAGCAATTTCAATTCCAAGTAAATCACCAAATTCATCAATGATCGGTATTTATATGCAAAATGGTGCCCAAATTGCTTCTATAAATGCGAGTAATGCTTTATATCTTTTTTGGACAAAATGTCTCAAATTGATTGTAATAAATAATGTTGGGCGTGTATTGCTTTATGATGCTCTGGGAAAATTGTTTAAAACTTCAACTATGGGAGAGGTTTTTTAATTTTTTAAATATTTCATTAAGCTCCTCATGTCGGATTTTTACTTAATATATATTTTCATTTTTACGCGAAAAAGTGGGCCGACTCTTTCAGGCCCGTAGCCAGGATTTTTTTTCGGGGGGGGGGGGGGGGGGGCAAGGGGGAAAATTTTTTATTTTCGCGCCGAGGCGAAAATTTTGAGAATTTTAGAAGGCCGTATGCCAAAAAATTGGCAATCCCGGAGAATTGGGGTCCCTGCGGAAAAAAATCTTAAAAATAAGAAAAAGGATTTTTCTAGGGTAAAAAAATATGCTGATTACGAATCTGAGCTCAGATTTTGAAAAGTCGAATCCCGAACCCGAATTCGGACTTTTGCCCCCGAACAGGATTTTTGACCCCAAACATTGTCGGACATTGTACAAAATGGCCAGTCTTTCAAAAGAATCTAGAACTCATCGAGCTAAGTCGAATGACACCAAAATCAATGAAATCCGACCGGAATGAACCGAGATACAAGACCTCTAAATATTGAAAAACCACAGGAGTGATTTTTTGGAGTAAAAAGTTTATAAAAATGATAGCTCATTCGAAAGAGCTCGTTGAGCTGAGTCGAATGACACCAAAATTACAGTGATTGATCAAGTTTAGACAAAGTTATGACATAAGTCGCCGACTCTTACAGTACTCCCAGAGGTTTACTTTATGTCATAACTTTGTCGAAACAGGTCCGATCGCGTTGGTTCTAGTGTCATTCGATGCAGCTCGACGAGCTCTTACGAATGAGCTATCATTTGCATATTCGAAATTCGGGATCAGGGTTCGAAATTTGGTTCGGGTTCGGGATTCGACTTTTTCAAAATCTGAGCTCAGATTCGTAATCAGCATATTTTTTTACCCTAGAAAAATCCTTTTTCTTATTTTTAAGATTTTTTTCCGCAGGGACCCCAATTCTCCGGGATTGCCAAAAAATTCACTTTTTCGGCGCCGCAGGCGCCAAAATTTTGATTTTCAACGCCGCAGGCAAAAATTTTTTGAATTTCAGAGGCCGTAGGCCAAAAAAATTCACTTTTCTGCCCCAGCCCTTCCCCAAATTTTTTCCTTTTTCCCATTTCGGGGGGGGGGGGAATTCCCCCCCCCCCCCCACCTCCCTGGCTACGGGCCTGGACTCTTTGTGCAGACACATTTTGCATACAACATTTTCTATGTTTAGAGTTGACCGTTTTTAATTCTATTTTCCATATCCACTGAATTTTTTTTTTTAAATTAATAATGGTCTTGTTCTATTTGTATATTTAATTAGCTATCTTTCCAATTGGTTCCCCCATCAGAGATCCTGCCATTCTGATTACGAAAATTTTGAATTTATTTTTTAGGTCGGCAGGATCCATGCTTTCCACTCCCTAGACAATTTTTACCCATACCCGCAAAAACTTTGGGCTCTTGTCCAGTTTATGCGTCCCATGAAAGTATATGCGTCCCATCAACAAAAAATTGAATATTTCTTGGTGTTGCAAAGTAGGGGTATGGTTCCAAAGCATTTCTTCATGTTCGGGATTTACGTCCACTGGGTCTGGGACCGTTCCTTACCCTATCCTTCGAAATTTCTGAAAGTTATAGCCAATTTTTAAAAATTTCAGAAAAACGATTTTAACTTTCAGAAATTTCGAAGGATAGGGTAAGGAACGGTCCCAGACCCAGTGGACGTAAATCCCGAACATGAAGAAATGCTTTGGAACCATACCCCTACTTTGCAACACCAAGAAATATTCAATTTTTTGTTGATGGGACGCATATACTTTCATGGGACGCATAAACTGGACAAGAGCCAAACTTTGACCCTGTAAAAAATTTCCAAAACATTTTTCAATAAAATAAATGTCAAAAATAGCTTGCCTTAAATCTCAAATAAAAATTTTTTTTATTTTTAAGGAAACTTTATCTGTTGGATTGTCTGAAGCAAAAATATTTTCATATTCAAATGAGACTGGACTTGTTATAATTAATAAATCTGGACATTTTTTTGTTGTAAATTCTGTCACTACCCCATTACTATGGAGAATTTTGAGTGATTCAAGTTTTTTTTAATTTTCTAAATTTTTTTAAGAAAAATAATTTTAGGGAATTTAGTAACTTGTTGGACAGTAATTACAAGTTGTATTAAACCAACACGTGTTTTGCTATGTTCTAAAAATAGTTTTTTAATTGGAGAGCAGGAAACGTGTTCCTTTCAACCTTGCGTTAGTTTGGAAATTTTTTTTGGGAAAACTTTTGGGTAAATTTTTTTCGGTGATTGAGAGCGGTTCTCTCGAAAAAGATCTAAAGTTCTGATTCTTTTTTTCGGCCAATGATTAACGTAAAATTTTTATTTCCCTTACATTTGAAATTAAAGATGTACTCCAACCCGAACCTGACCATATTTTGCTCCCTCGAACCAAACCCCGCTCGCCCTGAACGTTAGGGGTACAACCCTAATTATAATAATTTTGGCTTTATCTTTACGAAATTAATTATCGTTTACTCTTCCTTTTAACAAAATTAACAGAGAATTATTTTTTAAATAAAAATTTTTTTAAGAATTTTCCATGGGCTAAAACAGAAGGACAATACATAAAAATGGAATTGGATAATGACCAATGTCAATTATTACTTTTACATGACTCAAAAATCATGCAGTTAATTGATGTTGAGGTTGATGATTTTCAATGTCTTAAACAAATTAAATTGGAATTTAATGGAGAAATTGGACAAATATTTTGGTTTATTTTTAAATTTTTATTCTTTTTTACTTTTAGTTTTTTACATTGCTAGAGAGAGTAGTGTTGACTTTTTAAACCTTTTAATTATTTACACAAAGTTTTGTACCTTATACCAATTTTCTCCGACCTAGGAATCAGAACGATTAACTAGGTTCAAAAACCAGACCTTGTTCAAAAACCAGACCATTTGGCACACCCAATTAGCTCCCTCCCGAAATCGACCCACTGACCCCCATTGCCATTTGGTGAAACCCTTTATTTTATTTTTCTAAATTGTATGATTGTTTTTTGAGATTTTTGATGATCAATTCTCGATTTATTTCTATTCAATTTATTTTTTACTTCCGACTTTCTTGCAATACAAAAAATTTAAGCAGAATTACGGCTGACTAATCAAATAATTTAGTCAATTTTATCTCTTGTTTATTCACATTTTTGTTATTTTTAATCCCTCTCCTTTTTCATTTAATTTTATTTTTTTAGTTCGACTCAATTTTTCTTAATATTTTATTTTTAAGGTGTGGAAAATCATCTTTTGCAGTTGAACAAAAATTAGAATCTTCAAATAATTTATCTATTTATTCTCTAGAAGGAACTTCTGGTTCAAGCCAAACAGAAATTATGGAAAATACGTTTAATTCTACGTTTGATTTTTTTAACTATTTATTTAGTGGGGGATTTCAAACAATTTGTGGGTAATTTTGACGCTGATTTTAGTTTACGAGTTCAATGGTTTTTGAGGGACAAGCCCAAGACGGCGCAAACCCAATACTGCTCTAAGTGATAGAGTGATCAATCGAATGATCAATCAAGTAATCGGCCATCAGAGTGTGCACTCTTTTGCTCACTACAGGAAAGTTGTTATAAACAAAGTGGAAGGTTGATCCGACATTGTAAAAATTGTTCCAACAGCTGGGATGTTGTTCAGCTAATTTGCGCAGTACATATTGGGCTTGCGCCGTTTCGGTCGCGCCGTTTTGGCCCGCACCGTTTTGGGTTGTACCCGATTTCTGATTTATATTTTGTTTGGACTCATCAGAATTTTATTGAACTCATAGACTAGAATAAAGACATTTTTTTGGTTCTTTAATTCAAAGATTCATGCCAATTAAATTTTTTTAGTTTTTCATTTTCTTCTGATGCTCGCTTTAACAACGATATTGATGGGATTAGAGTATTTACTAGACGGTCTACTTCTTTACTTCTACCAATCCAAGATGCTTCAAAATCAGTCCTAGGCTTAGGAAGTAATGAACCCGGAGCTTTACTCTATGGATCTGCTGTAAAGTTGGAACAAAAAAGTCATTCATCTTATGAGTCTGTTTTTTAAATTTTGAGTTTAGGATTAGGAAAAACTAATTTTGGCAGATAGTAGGGTTTAGAAAATGATGGGTATCTAAAAGGCTACCCGATACTTACGGAGCGACATTTGAGGATTTACAATTGCGCCTTAATATATACGGACCGACAGATGCGGATTAACATTTTCGGACCCGACATTTGTGGACCTGGTAATGATTTAAAAAATAGATTTTCAAATCTTTTCGACTTACAAATATTTCTTTGGATCGGGTTGAGGGTCGAATACATATGTTCGGGTACCGGGTCGGGTCGGTAAAAAAGTGAATCAACCTACAATTTTGGGAATAGAACCTTTTGTTCTGTCTAGTGCAATTTTCATATCCGCAATTGTCGTCAAGAATTGTTGCGATTGTATTTGCGTATTCGCAATTGTCCTGGTACCGGATCGAGTCATATCTGACCCATATAAACTTTAAATTTATTTTTAGATTTATTCGTTCAATAAATCCAGAGGATATGAATATAGCTGTAGATCAATGTTTGTCAGTTGCTGCACACCATTTTGACTCAAAATTACAAAAACAACTTTTAAAGGTTTTTGAATATTATTTTTAAAGCATTTGTAAGGGAATCCTTAATTACTCGGTTTTTCCTTAACACCTTTTATCAAAAATAAAATTTTAAAGAAATATCGATATGGTTTCTTTATGCTCCCAAAACTCCTCAGGTTTTGAAAAGAAAATTTTATGCTACGAATATTCAAGAAAAAATTTGTTGTTAACTAATCCTTTTTGATAAAAAAAAGTTTCACGAACTTTTTGAGATGAAAATTTTTTAAACTATTTTTATTAACTTGCAGATAAAACCTGCACTTTTGTTAAGAAAAAAATTTATTTTTCAAAATTTAAAGGCAGCTTCAATAGGAATGCGTAGATGTCAAAGACCTTATGATGCTGATAAATTTGTTCGTATTTGTCGTCTTCTTCGTGTTTTAAATGCTCTTCGACTTATGGGAATTCCTTTAACATTTACTCAATTAGAAGAACTTTCTCCAGCTTCAATTGTTGATCGTTTAGTTGTTTTGGGTCATTGGCCTATGGCTGTAAAGCTTTGCGAATTTTTGGAAATTAATTCAAAAGAAGGTGTTTACAAAGTTATTGCACATTGGTGTTTGGCTATGATGACTACTTTTAAAGAACAAAATAGGTTTGTACAGGGTGACATAAAAGAAACTGCACACTTTGTTTTTGGCATAACTTTATTCAAATCAAAGATATTGGGCTCAGATAAAGTTTATATGATAGAGAAATAAATAAGGAATAGAAATTGTCAAGAATTTTCGAAGTGCCTCACCCTTATTTGGATAAAGAGTAAAAGGCGCGAAGAAAAATATTAAGAAAAAGTTCGCAAGTCGAAAAATTTTTTTTCAAAAAATAAATTTTTTAGAACTGATCATGTCAAAATTACGAAAATGGCATATTTTGGTGGAAAAAGTCTCCTCTTTCTAATCAACTTGTTAATTATTCCGAAAATCTTTTTTCTTTAATAATATAGTTTATTATTTGCAAATGGGTCAAAATCCCATGATTTTCATGAATCCTGAGGGTTTTCGTGGATTTACCGGAAATCCTTCAAGGTGTTTTACAGCCTCGGATCCGATGCCACTTTTGGTGTAGGGAAGGGATCTTTCATCAGAATTATTCATCTTTTAATAAGACCTTTGATGTGCAGTGTTGGTGTGCAGCCAATTTAACTGGTTTTAACCCATCTCAAATAATGCCACCGTACTCATCGGATTTAAATCCGTTGGATTGAATTTTTATTCTACTTTGAAGGCAAGGGTCTGTTCTTGATAGAACAGAAGTTTTGTGTCGCTTCGTCAACCACTCGCCCAGGAATGGGAGAAAATCCCAACCATGTAGGTGCGAACTTTTGCCCAAAATTTTTCCAAGCGCCTTGAACTCAATATCCGAGCACAGGGTAGGTATTTCGAAATTTCTTAATTATAATTGTTCTCCAGACATTTCTCTATTATTTAAGCCTTATTTGATCTCATTATCTTCAATATGAAGAAAGTTATTTCAAAAATACAGTGTGCAGTTTCTTTTATGTCACCCTGTAAAATATTTTTTGAAAATATTTTTGTGCTTTTGTCCTGTCAAAGACTATTGGGTGATGCCAGTGCTTAGGAATGTGATGCCAGTGCTGAAAAATGCACTGACCATGCCCAGTGCTTAGGAACACAAAAAATGTTAAAGAATCTAATCAATTGTGAAACCCAAAGAAAATAAAATATACATATAACTTAATTAGACGCTTAATCTGGGCATTAGACCTGTCCAAATGGGAGACAATAATACAGACTAGGGTTGGGTATAGAGATCGGCACGGGAGGGATCCCGGACGGGATTTTACGGGATCCCGTCCCGCAATCCCGGGTTTTTTGCGATGAGCGGGATTACCGGGACTCCGGGATGGATTAATCCCGAGGGATCCCTCCCGTTCGATATTTTCAAACTCACTCCCGTCACGGGATCCCGGAAATGCGATTTTGCCGATCTCTAGTTGGGTATATCCATAAAATAACATCAAAATTTATCAAAAAATATAAAGTTTAACTTTTAAGAGATTCTGAAAGTGCCAATGCTCATAAAATTGCAGAACTTGCACAACGTTTAATTTCCCGTTTGCGCCAATATCCAGCCATTAGCTATGCGGGTTGGCTATATTTTTTAATTTTTTAAAATTAATTTAAAGACGTTGCTGAAATGGCATCCCGCCAAGGATTGCCAGCATTAGCTGAAATTTTACTTGATTTGGAGACAAATGTAAGCAGACAAGTGACTGCAATGCTAAAATTAAAACAATTGGAGAAGGCGTTACAAAAGGCGGGACAAAGTCAGCAACCTGATCTGAGTGAGATTTTAAATTTATTCCAATTATAACAAACACTTCAAATTATCAATAAATTATAGTGCATCTTGTTTTGAGGCATTTACGTAGCAATATGAGTGGATTGGAAGTTGAAATGTTGTTAAGTAAAGCCCCACAGGCTCTCAGCATTTATCAGGCATAATACAAATTTTATTTAAAAATTTTAATAATTTCAAAGAGTAAATTTAGTCGGACCTTACCATGGAATATTAGAGTGAAATATTATAGACCCTTGAGAGTGAGATATTATAGGTCAAAAATAGGAGTTATCATTTAGACATCTATCCCCACCCATGTCCAATTAAATTTTTTAAAAATGATCTTAAATTTATCTGCAATATTTAGGCCTGTCTTTAAAAAAGCCCCACAAGAAAAAAAAGCCCCCCACAAAAATATGAAAGAAACACAAACAGCTCAATTTTTTTTGAATAATTTGTAATCAAAAATTCCTCATTTTAAGAGCGAGATTCGAGATGAAGCCCCAGACCGTTTATTAGCTTTATACGAACAAAGTGATGATTTTATTCGGCAAGCACTTTTATATCTAAACAAAGCAGAACAATCTAGTGCCGATGTTTTTGATTCTTCCAAAACAACAGAATTTTTGTTTAAAGCTGAAAAAGCTTTGAAAAATATGAAGGAAACACAAACAGCTCAATTAATTGGTGAAAATGCTCAATTAATTATAGAAAATGTTAAAAGGGAGGAAAAGGTGAGTGTGTGTGTTAGTTGAAATTTTGATTTGATTGAATTATGACTAGAGGGGAGTGTGACCCTTTTACCATCTTTAGGAGGGCTTTTTCCACCTTTTTGGCTTTTTCGCCCTCTTTATTCCCCTTTTTGAAAGACCATGCCTCCTTTTGGTGATTTGGAAAGGGTTACCCTGTTAGAGGGTAATTTTTTAAACCTAAAGGATATATCTAGAAAGGAGTTTAAGCCGTGTTGGATTCATTCAGGAATCTAGTCCACTCGATTCCTGAAAATCGGAAATTTCCGACGTTTTTTAGTTCGTGAATTCCGATTCCCGAAAATCTGAATTTATTCATTGTCGGCTCTTTTCCTTTTACTATACATACATAAGTTGCCGTCAGACTTCACAATTTTTGACATTTTTTAAAAATAATTTATACATTTATAGTTTGGTACTTCATTATCTCATTTATCTGTTCGGGACACATTTATTTGGGCTGTTGAACACGACGAACTTGCAATAATGGATCAATTAAGAAAACAACACAGACTTGTTGATAAACAGTTTTTTTGTCTTTTGATTAAAAAAATAGTTTTATTTTTTTAAAATAGAGTTTTCCTTTGGACAATTGAAGGATTTGCTCTTGCTGGTAAATGGCAACAATTGGAACAATATGCACGTTCAAGAAAGAGTCCAATAGGATTTTTGGTAAAATTTTTGGTTTTAAATGTTTCTCATTTATAACTGTCTCTCTTGTGTTATATATTGTTATTCACTATCTCGCTTTTTGTCTGACCATTATCCGGAAGAGAGGGTTTTCCTTATTTTACAATAAGGCTTAAAATTAGGGTTATGTCTTAAGTGATTTTAAAAAGCAAAGACGAAAGTCCAAAAATGTGAACTTAGGCGGAAGGTGAAGAATGAATGGTGGAACTGGCACACCCTCGCCAAAAATCCATGCTTTACCATTACGTTTGTTGGCAAAGCGTGGGTTTATAGTTTTTTTGGTAGGTAAAGCCTTATTGGTAGGTATTTGGTAGGGGGACATTGAATGTAATTTTTAAAATAATACCAATTCTTCAATTAAAATATTTAACATTTAGTCAATTATTGAATTGTGTACAAAATATGGAGACAAAAATTTAGCAACGCGTTTTATGGATAAATTGACGGGTTATGAGGAACAAGTTCGCGCCTATTTAATTATGAAGTGAGTAGAACTTCGGAAATTTTTAAAATTAATTTTTTCTAAAGCGAAATAAAAAAAGCGGCAACACTAGCAGCAGAGAAAGTTGACTTAACAATGCTACAATTAATTAGAAGGAGAGTTCCGCCATCATCCCAACAATGGACAGAAGTTACAAAAATTATTGAGAATTTGGGTAGAACTAAATAAATTTTTTTTTGATTTTTAATCGAAGAATTTTATATTTTCCGAAAAGAATTTTATAAAAAAATAGATATGTAAAAGAACCAGCTGAAGGGTGAGTAGCTGAATGGGTTTTATAGCTTTAAAATTTAGTTACGTTGGGGGAGCATTTGGTTACATGATAGAGGCGCGTCCAAGGACGCGCGTTGAAAGCCTGCGGCTTTAAAACTGTGCTAGGGTTATTTTTTTCTTGGAGATTTACGTTAAAATTATTCAGTGGTCCATATTTAATCTCCGCCCAGACAGCCAACTTCTTATTTACCCTACATGTACAGAATGGTTTAACTCCTTCCCTCAATTTCATTTAATTTCCCAGTGGCATGTTAATCAAAGACATTAACAAAAAAAGATTTAGTTTTCTTAAGTATTAAAGTAGAAATAACCATGAATCAATATTCATATTTTAATCTATTTCAGTTACATACATATTTATGTAAATGGAAATAAGTTTTCATATCCCGCCCCCACCCCTATTTGAGTCTCAGATTAATTTTTCTTCTTTGCTGTCAATCATTTATTTTCTTCTTTTTTAATGCCCATCATTTTCTTCCCTCAAATATAGGACATCCAAAATGGCGCGCGGCCATAATGGCGCAAACCCATAACTTGCTGGAATAATTTTGACTCTTGTCATTTTTGTTATCAATCTCTTTAGCTCGATGAGAATCTCTTTAGCTCAATCTCTTTAGTCGAAAATCAATTCACAACACCTTGGATTTTCAAAATTTTCGGCTGCGACGCTTTGCAATGCAATTTAAGGGTGGTATCGTTTTTCCATTACTTACAAGGAAAGGTAAAATTGAAATGAAAAATGGAGACGGACGGACTCGGACAGACAAAACACAACACACCATCTGTGTTTTGTTTGTCTGTGCTCGTCCGTGTTTTGTGTCCGTCCGAGTTCGTCCGTATTTTGTCTCCGAGTTCGTCCGTATTTTGTCTCCGAGTCCGTCTTTTTTTCATTCTTCGTCCGTGTTTTGTCCGTCTTCGTCCGTGCTTTGTGTCAGAATCCGCCCGTGTTTTGTTTGTCCGTGTCCATCCGTTTCCATTTTTCCTTCCTTTTTTCTCCATTTCCTTTCAATTTCTTTTCATTGCAGTTAATGAGCCAGGCTTAGCCTGATCGGTAGTTGGTTGCTAACGCTGCTAAAGGCTAAGCTAAAAAGGCTGCCTCCTGGCTAAACTAAAACAGGTCCAACAGGTCTAGTATCTAAGCACTGCTACTGTCGGGGCGCTTAATGCTCTTGGACCTCCTGGCTAAGCTCCTGGCTAAGCAGGGCTTCGGCCTGGCTTTCCGTGTAAAATAAACAGGTCTATAGTATATAAAAAAGACAAATCATCCGATCAAGGGCCAAGTCTCAACAGATCGCAGCGAAGAGCTGCTCTACTGTTTACAACCCCCTGACCAGTATTCAAGTCGTATACAAGTGATTTTGCGCCCCGACAGTAGACCCGCACAGGAAGTGCTAGGCGTTAGCAACCAACTACCGATCATAGTAGAAGGAAAATGCCAGATACTGGGGCTTGTAATACAACTAAAAAGTGGCTTACATTTTGCCTTCCGACACCGGAGAGCGATATATATTGCTATCACGACTGGGCGGGATTCTGACTTAGAGGCGTTCAGTCATAATCCCTCAGATGGTAGCTTCGCGCCATTGGCCTATCTACCAAGCACATGAACCAAATGTCTGAACCTGCGGTTCCTCTCGTACTAAGCAGGATTACCATCATAGCAACAAAAATTTTTTAATGATAGGAAGAGCCGATAAAGGATCAAAAAGCAACGATTATTTCAACAATATTGTAATAATGTCGCTATAAACTTTGTGCTAAGTAACGGAAGTTCCCAGAGAAAAGGCAAGGAACGCTACAAACGGCCATTCCCAGAGAGTTATTAGCCATCCATTATCTAAGCTAATCATCGCCACTAACTTATCCTTGGGAAAGCAATAGGGAAGTAAGCTGGTGTTTATAAGCTTTAATGGAATAGGCAAAGGCAGATCACTTCTTCATTCATTCAACAGAGTTGCCGGCCGGCCAATCCATCGTGTTAAAGGAGAGACGTCTCCCATATTCCCCCACTGCGTGTAATTCACCTATTTCTATACTCTGCGGAGTTCACACATGATTGCAACATGCGCGACTCTGCTAATAACATCTATTCAACAACGAGGCACTGGGGAACGGGACCAACCGCTTTACTGGTAGCACCGGATGGTTCCTCACCTTTTGCCAAGAAAATTTTGAGTTAGGAATAGGTTGGGGAATTTTTTAAAGATGGAATTTATATTTATTATTTGCCTCAAAATCCGCGGTTCGATTTATTATAAAATTAATTTTTGAATGAATAATTTTTATTTATTTGCGCTCAAAATCCTAGGTATCCCCATTTTGATAATAAATTAATATTCGAATGAAGATTTTATAAAATATAAGGGGGTTAATTTTTAAGTGATCTATCCTCTGCGGAGGCCATTTATATGAAAATTTATTTTATAATCAGTAAACCCCATTTTGATACTAAATTAATATTTGAATGAAAATTTTAGAAAATATAAGGGGGTTATTTTAAAGTGATCTATCCTCTGCGGAGGCCAATTATATTATAAATTATTTTTATCATCAGAATCCCGATTTTAATAAATTAATATTTGAATGAGGAATTTAATAAAATATAGGGGGTTAATTTTAGAGTATTAAAAAATATTAAATAAAGATTATAGAATTTAATGAAAATATTTAACCCTCCGAGGAGGTCATCCAAATAAATCATTTTAGGGAAATATAAAAAAAAGCCTATAGTTAGAAATCCCGATATATCATAACACCTCTGTGTTAATATTAGCTAAATGTTAAAAAATGCTGCGGCATTCTCTATTTTCTCTTTATGAACATTTTTCAATGGACTTTATTATTTTTTGAATGTTCTTTATTAACATATTGCCTGATCATCTCGAAAATGTCAGCAAATTCAATGAATAACTACATATTTGACAACTCCAAACAAACTTGCTCTTCATCCCGCGGGATATTTAAAATTTATTCTTAATACAAATGATCTTTTCGAAATGGAAATTATTTTTTCAACTTAAAATGTATAGGTAAAGTTCAGCTATTTCATGAATTCAATTCGAATTTTTGTAAATAATAATTTTTTCAAAAAATATAAAAATTGAAAAAATTCCGAAAAAGCATTTTCGATTCCCAGAAAAATAAAATAAAATATTGCTAAGAAAAATTTTTTAATAATTATTTAATTATTTGGGTTTTAATTACTTTATTACAACATTTCTTAGTAAAATTTCATTTGTTTGCAAGCTGATTTTTATTCTAAATTCATTAATTCACTTTTTTATGAATATATAAACCCTGAGGGGTTCATCAATTTAATAATTTTATATTGCTTTCAAAAATGTTAAAGAAAATTTTTTTCATTTCCAAAGAAACTTTAATACATATTTTAAAATAATTTTACTCTTAAAAAATTGTCTTAAAAATTTTCTTTATAAATAATTCTTTTAAACAAAATTTTTTCTCATATTGGTTTCCCTTTTACTTTCATTAAAACCCCGCGGAGTACATGTATGTAAGGTTATCTAAATTAATTAACAAAAGAAAACTGTCATTTATTACTTGAAAGATCTCTAGTGGCTAAAACTTCGTCAATAATTTAAAGATAAGAAGCTAAATCCCTATAAGTCTAGTCCTAAATCCCTAAATCCTAAAAAACTTATTAGGAAGTTAAAGATTAAACAAACATGCAAAACTATTTTTATTTTTCTCACAAATTTTGTTATTTTTTAAATTTTTAAACCTTATTTTCATAAATACCAATTGCTTTACACAAATGTTCTTTTTAGTGTAATTTTTCCATTATATTTACATTACAATTTAATTCTCGCAATTAGTTTTTACTTTTTTTATTCTTGACTGCTTTTATTTCCCCGCGGGGTCCAAAGAATATGAACGATGTTTCCCGACACAATATGTGAAACTTTCTACGTTTTCCTTTATTCTATTATGGAATTTGTTATTAATAAAGAAAAATAAAGTATCGAATCGAATTTCTAGAAAATGTTTGTTATATACCAAAATATGAGGTAAAATTAAGTAAATACTAAAAGAATTTTACAAATCAGAACTCTAGATTTCTATCATTTTCGCGGGAATAAAATAAAAGCGGGAATAAAATAATTTATCATTTTTTCATTAGTAGATTGATTCTAACTTTCTTGATTTTGAGTAATATGGAAATTTTTAGAAGTATATGATTTCTTATCTCTTTAGCTTTACCCTGTGGGGTACAATTATGATAAGTAAATTTTCCCCTTAATTTTTGTGGGAAAAAAATTTTTTTTGTCAAATCTGAAACTAATTTTGTCAAGGTAAATTCAACCGGGTATCAATATAAAGTCTTAGTCATCCCGCGGGATTTAAGAAATTTCCATTTCTTCATTAAATTTAAATTTTAGATATAAATCCTCAATTATTATCACCAGTTAATTTATGCTAAATAAAAAAAAACAACTACATATTCTGTCAACAGAGATTTCTCTGTTCTTTTTACTTTAAAATTGTACAATAAAATTTTCACTCTATTCTAATAACTCTCCTTTGTCTTGATTTCTTTGTAATTATATGTAAAATAATTTCTTGCTGCGAGATATTATTTTTGGCGAAGGATAAACTTGGTATTCCTGCTCACAAAAACGACAAGATATTAATTTAATTATTCTAATTCTGAAAATTTCAGCAGTCTCGATTTCAAATTTTTCAGAACTAGATTTATGGTAATGCAAGCTTAATATTTAAAAATGGGAATAGATGATTCTGTCTATAACTTCCCGGCCCCTCTTCCCTTTATTAACCTGCGGTGTTTTATTTAGAATTCGAGCAGAAATTCAAGTCGAATATAGAACAAGGGTTTAAGTAAAGGACAAACTATACTTACTGATAAGTACAAAACA